GTTTTAAGACTGGTTGGTGGGAACAGGTATAATAATTGGCCCTGTGTGAGTTCTGGCTACTGTTCTTTCAGGCTTGGGGGTTTTCCTCACCTGGAATCATTTCCTCACACATGGACTATTTAGTACTCCACCCTGTAAACTCTACCTATGCTGGTCTCCCTGGTCTCTCAGTACTACCTTCTCAACTCAGAAAGTCCATCAACTCTTCCTGGGGTTTCTTTTCCTCTGCCACTGACTGGAAATTTTCTCAAGGAAGTAAATAGGGGCAATAATAGAGCTTATTCCATGTCTCCACTGTCTCTCAGGGACACTGTTCTTTGTTGCCTGCTGTTCAATAGTTTGAGAACCATTATTTCATATATTTTGCGTAGTGTTTTAGTTGTTCCAGAGAAGAGAGTAATTCTGACCTTCGTTACTCCATCTTTGCCAGAGCAGAAATCCCTCCACTGGATTTTAAATATTTAACATTTCTTCCCCTTTGGTTTGCCGATGGACCCCCAAATTGGGCCAGCCTCCCTAAGTAGAGCTGGCTAGTGCTAGTTAATTTCCAAACAAATTGTACTACAGATTGACAAATATCTCGATTCTTAATCACTATCCCCTGGAGTGATAGAGATGGAGAGAGAAGGAGAAAGTAGCCAAAACATTTCCATTGCCCATAAAATGTAGGGTACAATCTCTACCTACACAATCTGCATACTAGCGGGTAGGTTACAAATTGCATCCTATAACTGGCTAATTGACAACACAGAGCACACCTCTGCTCCAGGTTCATAGACTTTACCTGAGGCAACATGCAGACACATGACAGGAGGGTTAGTACTAGTAAATAAGAGACTGGCTGCTCCACTAAAGGAGAAAGCTCAGAGCACATACATGAGGAAGGTCAAATCTTCACACACCAAAGAAAGTGCATGTGAGGTGGTAGTGCAATGGTAGACCACAAATGGTGATCCCTGAAAACTTGATGCTAATGGGGGTTGCACTAAAAAGAAAAAAAAATCACCTGTTGGAAATTTACAAGTGCATACTAACATGTTGAGCAACCATGAAAAATGTGCCTCTCAGATGCCTATTCTGGAGGGCATAATTGAAATACATCTCGAACTTCTTTACTTTAAAATCCGTCACTGTTTAACAGTGAGGCTAGATTCCCAAAGGTTTCTTCCAGCCAATGACTGAGTATGGCAGGTCCACTAATGCAGGCCTACATATGCAAGATGTAGGGACTTTCTGATGGGTAACATTGGCTCAATGACTCCCTGTTGGCATTGACTCCCTGTTGGCATTGAACTTTCTTAGGATGACACTCTAATGTAAAACCTTCCTTTCTTCTTCCCTTCTCCCCCTTCTTCCCTCCTTCCCCTTCTCCTTATCAATGGTCTGAACTACTACTCAGTCTGATGGCTCTCCCAGCCTCCTCTGGCTCCTTCCCTGTTTTTTCCTCACAGGTGTTCCTCCAATAACTCTCCTGCACCTCTAGTCCAGGTTGATATCTGCTTCTTAGAGGACCAGACTAACCCACATATTGAACACTCGGAGAAGTCCTACAGGTAAGAAATTTGTTTAATTTTAAAAAAATTTCTCACACAGTTTACTAAATAACATGCTTTTTTTGGTGGAATACTCACTAGAAGTTGGGGAAACTCGGTTTGAGAAATGCCATTGAATAGAAGGAAAACTGAAACAACAATCAGAAAATTTGTGTTCTGGCTCTTGAAACTCTGTTCATAAAAATACCTAATATGTGTATAACATTTCTATCACAGGCATAATTCTGAAATGGCCCTGAAAATCCCAGGTCCCTGGTGTACGAACACCTTGCTCTGGTTTTTCAATCAAGCATTAAGCTGTGTGTTGATATGAAAGGATTTTGCAGGTAAAGTGTGTCCCAAAATTCACCCAAGATTTGAATTTTACGCCATTGGTGCCGTCAAGTGTTGCCAATGAAAAAAACCGGAGATGCTAAAGAAAAAAAATAAAAAGCAGTTCATGAGAGTGTAGCTGAGAGTCCAAGGATATCAATTCAGCACTGTGGTCAAGAATTGGACATTTCGCCCTGACTGGTTTGGCTCAGTGGCTAGAGCGTCGGGCCTGTGGCTGATGGGCCCCAGGTTGGATTCCGGTCAAGGGCACATGCCCAGGTTGTGGGCTCGATCCCCAGGAGAGGGCGGGGAGGAGGCAGCCAATCAATGATTCTCATCATTGATGTTTCTATCTCTCTCTCCCTCTCCCTTATTCTCTGAAATGAATAAAGAAATATATTTCTTAAAAAGTAATTTT